GACACGAACTCCTCCGTCTTTGTGTCCTCTTCAGTTTTTCTCCCTGTACATGCTCTAGGTGCTCTCTGCTCATTACCTGACTCCATCAGTCTCCATCTCTCTGCCTCAGTTTGTTTTGTTTGCTTCCTAGCCGTCCTGGCAACTGCATGCATCATGTGACCGTGGAGCTCATTTCTTGTGTGCATACATGTGTAAGTGTGTGCGCACTTGTTAGTCGGAAAACTAAAGATTCTATGTGTGTGTGTGTGTGTGTGTGTGTGTGTGTCTTGGGGCTGTTAGTGACAATCGACTTCTCCATCAGCCTCTCTCTCTCTCTCTCTCTCTCTCTCTCTCTGTGCATCCTGTGTTCATCTCCAATCGCTCTGTCTCACCCGATCTATCTTCCTGCTGTCACCCTCCCCTTTTAATGCCTCGCCGACTGGCTTCTTACTCGACTTGCTCTATGTTTTCCTCCTGCCCCATTTTTCACGCTGTCAAACGCTCACAATGCTCCTGACGCCAGCCTTCATTTCTTTTCCTCATTTTCCTTTTTTTGTTTTTTAAATCTTCTTTCTGTGTAAATTTGGCTTGCTAACTTAACATCCTTCAGCAGAGGTCTTGTCAAGTCTGTCCTATGTCAAGGCTGTCAAATCAGCCTACCACCACCTCTAAAGCTCACAAACAACACTTTATATCGTCTTTGTTTAGTCTGTATGTAAACTGAAGTGTAAAAAAAAAAAAAAGACTATTCAGTGTTTTATGGGGGGTCATGTCCCCAACTTTTTCTTGGCTGGGAGCAGGAACTTTTTGGAGTTTCTACAGGTTTCTTGGAAACTGGTCCTGGCCAAGAAATAGTCCCGTCTGTAAAACAGTAAATTGACAACAATTGTTATATTACTTTTGTATTTAAGAGATGCTAGAAAGCAAATTTTCTTAGCCAGCCAGGATAGCCGTTTGCCTCTGTTTCCAGTCTGTGCTAAGCTAAGCTAACTGGGTGCTGGATGTGATCTCTTTTTTTCCATACAGAAAAGAAAGTCATTTCAAGCTTGTCATCCAGCTCTTTCACCAGAGGGTTATTAAGCATATTTCCCAAATGTCAGTCTTTTGCTTTAAGACTGCTACGCTTGTGCAGACATTCAGCCTGACTTCCTCTCATTCCTATCTCTAACCCTCACAACGACAATAGTCTCTAAAATGTGAAAATCCATCCCAGTCTCTACTCCCTGCTGCCGGTCGTCTGACTCTTGTATAAGGACAGTGGGTTCTCACAGGGTATGAGGGAACACACATACACACTCACCCCTCACCCCTCCCACTCCACATGCCTCCTCAGGGACTGATATTTGTCAGGGGGTGTGACAGTCCAGAAGTATCTATCCATCTATCAAGCACAGAGCGAGGAGAGGGAGCCCAGGTGATTCTCTGTCAAAAAAAGAAAGACAGAGAGACTGAAAAGTAGGCACATATGGAATCTGCTGCAGCATCTGTCAGGCCCGGGCATGTCAGCTGTGGTGGTTTGAGGAATGAAACAAGCAGAGGAAAATAAAAACTGTAACGAATGCTTTTTTTTTTTTTTTTTTTTTTTCTCTCGAGGCACAGCTGGGGATGTTAAATCAACTGAAAGAGCTTCTTGGCTCTTAAAAATGAAAGAAAATTGGTGGTTTTCAGTGGTTCATTCAGTTGGGAGAAGAGACACAATATGCTGAAGGTGGTGCAAACTGTTGGCCATAAACACATCTCTGTCCTTCCTTCAGGGCCCACTCTGTACCTCCTTCTCTCCACCGCTCCTTATGTTGCCCCCCCCTCAGTGCCCAGTTATGAGGAGACAAGTATATATTAATGGTGTCAGTGTATTTCAGGCTGAAGCAGGATGTTGTGGTGGGAACCTGGTAGGGGATTTTAGATTGTGGGTGAGGACATTTATTCAGTTTTTGATATCTAATACTAAAACGTTGGTTTATGTAGAAGTAATTTACTACACAGCGTTTCTGTGCCATTTTTCTGTTTTTCTCTTCACTTTCTTATGTTTACTTTGCTCCTTTTTCCCTTTTCTTTCTTTGGTCACCCTCCCGTATCATTCTTTCACCCAGCTGCTTTTAACCTCCCTCCCCTCCTCTCTCTTCTCCCATGGTGCTGGCTTTAGCTGATTAGAGTGGCCCTGCTTGCTTTGATTAATTGGATGAGTCTTGTTTCCATGCCAGATTCCTCTTCTCTCCTCTCCTTCTCTCCTCTCCTCCCCTCCTCTCCTTTCCTCTCCTCTCATCTCCTCTCCTCTATATATTTCTCTCTTCATCAGCAGCTAAAACAAACACAGCCTTTAATGGCATTGATGAGAGGAAATAACCAAAACTATGGGTATGTCAGCAAACATTGTGCAGGATTCATTTTAGTCAACCTCATAAGCACTGCCAAAAAAAAAAGATACCACAAAAGATAAAGGGCTCTAGAATAAAATTTTAGCTTTTAATGTCTGCATAGCCCCATGTAAGCCTAAAGATCTAAGAGAGTTTAGACATTCTGGAAACAGATTATCAGTTCAGTACTGCAACAAATGATCTATAGAGTACTTTCTTGTTTAATCGACTGATTTTTTTTTTTTGTAGTGTCTGAAAAGTCAAAAAGTCGTGTCCCAGAGCCCCATCTGTCTGACAAGCAATCCAGCACACAGCCATTTTATTTATTGTCATACATGACCAAAAAAAGGTACAAATCCTCATATTTGTGAATATTTCTGCTTAAAAAAAAATTAATGAAACAATGAATCAATTCCAAAATATGATTATTATTAATTTTCTTTCAGTTGACAAACTGATTTAAAGGAGGAATTGTGTCAGCTTAAAGTGAGTCTTTGCACTTCTGTATGTGTGTGGACACATAACTAACATGACGGTTTTAAAGTAGGTTACTCATTCATCAGTAATATGGTTTTGCATTGATTTCTCTTGTCTTTTGGCCGCTCCCTTCTAAAACCCTGACTTCAGGAAAAGTTGGAAGCCTTTCTCTCCGCTCACCCTGTCGACCTCCTCAGTGTTTTAATCCGTCCTTCAGGCTTTGATGACAACAACAACCACCTCCATCTCCATGGCTCTGTCTCCCCGCTCATTTGTCTCCTCCCTCCTCTCTCCTCTCCATCTCTTTCTCTTCCTCCCCGTTTTTCTTCTGCTGTCTTTAAGTGAATTCCACTTCAAAAGCTTGCCTCTGAAAAGGTCGTCTGCAGCCTCTACAGACCCCCGTGGCTCCTCATCTTTCTTCTTTTTGTTGCTCTTTTCCCTGTCTCTCTCTCTTCTTCTCCTTGTTTTTATTTGTTGTGCTGTGCCCCTTGCACAGTCGTGGCAGAAGCAACACACACTTATATTCGACAAATAACACAAACAAAACCCATCGTAGCACAGCCAAGTGAATGGCTGCCTGCGAAAGTCAAATGCTCTGTTATTCCATCCCAGCAAATACAATCTCTGGAGATGCAATGCCAACCGGAGAGCCCCAAGGGGCGCTGAGGCTTTCTCAGAAATGCAGGCAATCACACAAGCTAACTGCTTTTGTTGTTTTCCTCCGTCCCCCCCTTCTTCCATTACAGGCCGTTTTTATCAACCTGCTGAAAGCCTGAAAAAGCCAAGGAGACTTTGTGTGCAAACGGCATGTTTGTGTGTGTGCTCCGTCTGTTTGATAATGCTAACCAGGGATGAAGAACTCTATGCGATATGGAAAAATAAACAGGCAGAATAACTCAGTGACAACGTGAGGCCTCATTCACTGAAATCACTGCATGATGAATGACTTTGGTTCTGCTGTGTTGGGACTATACAGTAGATGCCTTGTTCTTGTGGTCACTGGAGCTGAACTGCTACTTTGTTGTGTGATTATCTCCTGCATATTGTTATGCTTGGGTGGGGGATGTTTGTTGCTATTTATGTATATGTTTGTATTTTTTAGGATCTCTTATAGCTCAGAAATAACACAACATGACAGCTGCACATTTTTATATTATTTTTAATTATTTATCTTTCACAAGTTCTCAACCCATTTTAATCTCGTCATTTGAAATATTCTTTATATAAACGATGGGTTAAAATCATTATGTGTAATGGGAAGGGCGTCGCTGGTAACCATAAACCCTCAGGAATGATCACCAGACTCTACTCACTTCTACAGAGCATTAAAGCATCTTTCAGCCCATTGTTTTAGTTTAATTGCCTACGACTTTACTGACTGATTCAGTCGTGTTTCCAAAACAGAGGTAAAATTAAAAGTGAATATTTGACTTATATTTGATTTATATTTATTTTCTGCTGGATGTGTAAATAACGTGTGTCTGCTAACACGTCGGCCATATCAACTTGATATGAGGTGATAATATGTCAGTGATGTATTTTCAGCGCCCGAGTGGCCGAGAAAAAATCGATGAAAGCTGGTTTAAGTTCGAATTTAAAAGAATCAAAATCATGAATTTTCCAACCAATAAGGATGATTTTTCATCCTCTGGTCAACATAGCAGCCTCTCTCTCTCTCTCTCTCTCTCTCTCTCTCTCTCTCTCATTCACCACCTCACAGCATTTAGTCAGCTGCAGTCTGCCCCCGGTGGAGAATGGAGTTAACAACTGAAGCTGAAATGTTGATGGCCTTTCTCCTCAAGCCTTGTATGTTCTGAAATAACCCATTAATCATGTTGCCATAGTGGGGGGAGAAGGAGTGAGAGGGGTAGAGTAAGACAGAGAGAGGCCAGGTCTGAGAGCGAGTCAGTCTGACAGCTACAGCTTTGGGTAATAAGGGCTAATGGATCGGGGAGCATGGACATACCTGTCCAGCCTGCTCACATTAGGATGAATAGAGAGCTGCGAGAGTGTTCTTGTCTGTCCTTTGTAGTGTGTGTGTGTGTGTGTGTGTGTGTCTGTGTGTGTCTCATCCTCCTTCCTTGCACTGATGTTTTGTACCAATGTTTCATTGTTTTTGTTGTTATTAACAGAGAATTGCTTCTGTCTCCGTGTGTCTCTTGCAGGCTGTGAGCCCTGTGCAGGGTGGTGATGAGCAGTCAGGGCAGCAGCAGCAGCAGCAGCAGCAGCAGCAGCAAGGGAAGTGGCCAGCATGCTGACACTCCTCCCCCTCGTCACGCCCCCGGACCCAAGCTGCAGGTGCAGCGCTCCCTCTCTCGCGACACCATCACCATCCACTTCTCTGCACTGGGGAAGGAGGAAGACGATGAGGAAGAGGAGCTTTATGGGTTACCTGTTGGAGATAAATCAGTGCTGGATGGTGCAGATGGACTTCAAGGTGTAGAAGCTTCAGGGGCAGACGACCAGTCTGTCGCCACGGGCTTGGAGGCAAAAGAGGAGCTGCTGTTTGAATCGGCAGGAGTGGAGGCGCTCTCTGGAGCTGCTGTGCTCCCTATTTCATCCACCACTCTGCCCGTGCAACCCTCAGACCCTCACCCATACACACCGTCTGCAGCCATGACTATTATCCCCACCTCCGCCCACTCCCACCTGAGCTCCAGCCCACCTGCCAGCTCCTCCTGGCCCTCTGACCGACCCACAGCTAATCCTCCATCCACAAGCTCCACCTCATCCTCCCCTTGTAAGTCTGCAGCGCTGTCGTCCTCCAAGCCTTTTCTCAGCCTGGTCAGGTCTCTGTCCAATGACGTTGAATCTCGAGAATCCACACCCGCCCCCACCACTGTTGCACCATCTCATGCACGCCACCGACACTTAATGAAATCTTTTGTTAAGTCTCTGTCCACAGACACCTCAAAGGCCGAACATCAGGAAGGGCCTCTTCATCATTATCTTCATCAGCAGCAGCAGCAAACACAGCCATCCCATCGGCCTCCGCCTCGCAACATGCAGCTCTTCAAGCAGTTTTCCCAGCCTCGTTTATCCTCCAGCCCCGTCATTGTCACTCAAGCAGGCGGAGACTCCAAAACAGCCCCTTCCTCCCCCATCATGTCCCCAGATGGTAGGTCTTTCTTCAAGGTGCAAGAAGTGGAGGCCAAGATAGAAGACACCAGGCGGCGGCTGTCGGAGGTGATGTCAGATCCCCTGCAGCTTTTTAGTAAGATCATGGGAGATGAGTCCGGCGCGGGAGCGTGTGGAAGCGCCGCTCATCGCGCCAAATCGCTGTCCTCCAGTGCGTCAGAGCTCAGCGGAGTGGCGGCGGTAAACGGACATGCAGAAGGTAACAACAACTACAGCATCAAAGAGGAGGAAGGGCCAGAAGGGGATGAAGAAGAAGAAACACCCACGGGCAAAGGCCCAGACTCTGTTTTTTTCTCCTTCCCATCAATGGCTCCGGCTCCAGCCTTCGCCCAGGCCTCCTCATCCACTTTCCACAAGTCTCCATCTCTAACTCTGGGCCGATGCTCCATGTCAGCCCTGGTAGCTCGACAGGAAGACGAGGACTTCTGTGAGCTGTACAGTGAAGACTTTGATTTATGTACTGACACAGAGACACCGGATGGGGATCGTCCCGGGTCCCGGCAGCCCCATACTGGTAGCACTGGTGTGTGTAGTGAACTCGATACGGAGGAAGAGGAGAAAGCGGAGGAGGAGGTGGACACTGTGCCTGTGACTGCCCTCGTCTTCTTAACACAGTTGGTGTACTGGTACTTAGTCCTTCCAGTGCCGCCCAGTGTGTGTGCAGTGGCGCATGGGATAGCAGCTGGGTTCATGTTGGCCTTGCTGGTCCTCTGGCTGTCCTCTTCTCGACGCTCCTCATCAGGCACGAGAAGAGGGAGGGGAAGGATAGGGGCCTGGAATGTGGCCCAATTGGATATAAAAGAACCAGGAATATTCAAGGTGAGACAAATCACGGCCAAGTTTTTGACTGTTGCCTAATAGCTTTAGAAATTAAACTTGTTTTTCTTAACTCATTGTAAACTTTTGGATCTTGTTCTCCAAAACATCTAAGGTCTAGCATATTCAAGCTACATGCTCTGCACACATTTACAGGATGGTCACAGATTTGAATGCAAACGTGTAAGAAAAACATGGTTCCATACAGCCAAAAGTCAAGATAACTTGACCTTGCAGGTTTTACACGTGTAGATGAATGCATGGTCAAGATATATGGCTTTTGCACTGCATTCATCTTACCAAGCCTTGGATAAGCCATTCTAAGGAGGACAAGGATGCAATTTTGTGCAAATCTATGTTTATTTAACCTCAAAAATAAGCTAAATTGTAGTTGTTGTCTGCCAAAGAGCTTTTCTTTTGTATCTTTAGACTATATGTTCTTCTTTCTATCATTTTAACATCTTTTTACACTAGCCAGGCGCTGAAATTTCCCTTGTTGTTACAATTGAATTGGCTCTGCTCACAGAGCATCCTTTGGGACTGATGAAGTAGGAGTTTGGATGAGAATTAAACTCTATACAACCTCGTGGGGACCGGTAGCAACATATTGAGGTTATATTACACTTTTTCTCCCATGATGGTCACAGTTTTTTTTTTTGGAACCAAACTATGGAACGAGAGCACCACCACATTTGGCTCCTGTTCTCAGTTAACCTCTCTCGTTGCTGTAGAAACTCTTCCAGAAGAGGAATGTTTAGCAGTTTGAGGGAGTTATGCAAGCATGTATAGTTAGAGTGTGTGTGTGTGTGCGTGTGTGTGTGTTTGTGTGTGTGTGTGTGTTTGCCTTTGTGGGTACCAAGCTATTGCTGCACAGGAGATCCTTATGGCTAGAGGGCACAGCTGTTCCAAAAGAGAAGCTCTGCGGTGGTGCAGAGAACATGATATACACATATGAACGACAGACCCCGGAGCACAGCAGCAGGGTAGAACGATTTCCTCTTTATGTTCCTCTTCATGCTCATTCTCCTTTGAGGATCAACAGAGTATCCAGCTGTCAGACGCCCCACTTTGTCTTATGTTGCGTCGTATGAGTGAACTTTGTGGCACTGTGTCCCTGAGAGAAAGTTTTGTTTTTAAATGAACGGTATGTGATTTAACATCATGCTTCTCGGAAATACTGCAAGGAGTCATGTTTATTAATGTCCGTGGTGCACAGAGAAAACGGCTGTAATCTTACGTGTTTTTTAATGTTTTAAGAGCAGTAAGTTGAAGGCAAATGGCCTTTGCTGTTGAAGGTGTTTCACCATCAGTTCTTTTTACCAGCAGTGACCAGAATCCACCTGAAGGTCAGCACACGCAACATGAGTTCAAAAAGAAAGTCTAAGGAATAAAATTTTGGTACAATGGTGAATATACCAGTGTTAAAAAAATAACAAAACAAGCATCATACAGTATAAACAACAACATCAAGTAACAAGTCGACCATACAGTTCCTGTAGTAAACACTAAATTCTCTTGTTGAGTAAACCACCAAATCTTTCGTGTTTGACAGTGAGTCTGATGTGTGTGTGTGTGCCGTGACCGCAAATTTAAATCCAGTATCAGTGAAAACTCTTTCCCTCCCTCCCTTCCCAGGGCTGGATGAATGAGATCCACAGCTACGACCCAGAGATGTACCACGCCACCTTGACCCACTCTGTTTACGTCCGGCTGGAGGGCTCCGTCCTGCGACTGTCCAAGCCCAACCGGAACATCTCCCGCCGGGCCGCACACAACGAGCCTAAACCCGACGTCACCTACATCAGCCAGAAGATTTATGACCTGACTGACAGCAAGGTGCGTTGGCTTTTGGGCGTATCATGAAAAATGAAGGAGAGATGCTAAAATTGCGTTTTGCCCGTGAAATATGAGTCGGTGGAAGAGATAGGGGGATATTAATGTGTTAAATGTGTGTATGTGTGTGTGTGTGTTTCTCCTGGCTCCCCAGTGTAATTGTCTGCTTGATGATAAGCTTAACAGAGAGTGACATCATGCACATATCCCCTCACATTTGCCTTTGCCTTTGTGCATGCTCGCTAATAAGTCATGCTCTGTGACAAAGCCACTTATTTTCACAGTCACATACTGTGTGTAAACATGGAGTGAATATCACAGGTCACTAACCCTGTACACACAGCTGTGTGTCTTGTGTATTGATGTGCTGACTCGATGCTTTTGCATATCTGAAGGCAGCTGCCCTGCCTTAAGAGTTTCTCATGTCAGTCTATCATGGAGCAAAGGGGTCATTGTGGTTGTCATGAAACTACCCTGGTGTCCTTTCACTGGAACTGAATGGATCCCTAAAGTGCCATTTCTCCATCATTATGGTGGATGTTTTATCTGTCTTGAATGTTACCTGCATTTATAGAACCTGGATTATATTTTTTCAGATACACATTAGGTGCCCTTGAACATGCATTTTTCTGCTTAAAGTCAAGGTCTGATTGTTTTAACCATTCTGAGATCCGATACCCATAGATCCACGTGGCTACAACCAACAGCTAACACAGCAACCATGCAATGCTAATATTTTAGAAAAGCTAATATCTGTGTCAGAGATGTAAACCAGATTGGGCGCACTGTTACAACCTACAGCACAACACTGAACAATGGTAAATGGTAACTGCTTTCATCATGAACAAAACAGAAGACATATTCTCGCATTGTTGGTCAAAGACAAATGGAGCTCTGGGTTAAATAAATATAAATACATAATAGATGAGTCATCTGCACATTGCCTGCATTGTTTTTTTTGGATTTATATTTGGGTTTATTTTTTCAGAAATTTTCAAGCCCTCAGTTGCTGCCACTTCACGCCCCTGGGGCATGTCTGCCACGTTGTATTTATAGTTTCAGTGTGCCCTACAAAGTGTTCCTGTTAGGCTCACACAACATTTTTTTTCTCTCATTTAAATATCAACATATTACTAACCTATAAAATACAACAACAAAACACTCTAATATGATCATTTTTATGTGTTTGATTGAATGCGCTCGGTCTATACGCCCCTACAGATCTACCTGATGCCCCAGAGCTTGGCTAGGAAGAGAGTTTGGAATAAAAAATACCCTATTTGCATTGAGTTGGCCAAGCAGGAGGATTTCATGTCCAAGGCCCAGGGAGAGAGGCCCGAAGCTACGGAGGACAAATTAACAGGGCAGGGTGAAAAGCTAGAACGAATGGACAAAGGTGAGAAAGCTGAAGGATCCGCATCGACAGAGGAACCCAAAAGACCAGCCTCTGGAGGAGGGGATCTGACAATCTACCTGTTTGGGAGGACGGGTCGGGAAAAGGAGGAGTGGTTCCGGAGATTACTTCTAGCTTCCCGAATGAAGTCAGAAGGGAGAGGTGGCAGCCTGTCTGGCATCTGCAAGAGTGGTGAGTTTCTGACTAAGCTATATACTGTATCGCACAACTATGCACAGTATATGGGTGTATCTGTCTTGCTCACCCTCTCTCCACATACATACTGTATTTCCACAGACACACATTGCTCTCCACGGTCAGAATACCCATTCTCTTGAGTATGTAACTGCATAGCCATCAGATCTGTGCATAAGCCTCAGCTTAGGGACTGCCAATCCCCTGAACTGAGCGAACAGATGAGTGTGAATGGGTCAGCAGGATTACATGCACAGAGAAGCAGCATATTATAGCAGTGGTCTCCACTGTGGAATATAAGCCTGCAAGGATAAGGCCCAATTCAAAGGGAAACACTAGCACTGTGTGGGTCGAGTGATAAAGGCAGTGCAGGGTGAACAGGATTACTGGAAAGATTATTTAAGCATCAGGCCTTTTTTTTTTTTTTTTGTGGATATACATAGCAATTATTTTTCAAAACGACTATTTCAGTGCTAATGTGAGTCACAGAGCGGATGCAGTGTGTCATCTGGTAGAAAGCATACTGATTCAGTGTTGCAGCATGTTGTGAGAAATGAATACAAAATAGACGCTAACTATACAAGGCTACGCAAAGTGTTGAGCATGCATTATGTATGTGAAATATGATGCATTGATTGCAAAATCAATCACTGAAAATGTTGATGCATAATTTTATCACATTCACCTCCCCGGACTCTTCCCATCCTGCCCCCCCACCCCCCACCCACGCAACACTTTTAGCCTTCCTGCCCTCGCACAGCCGCAGTAGCAGCACCCAATCTGGTGGAGGCCTGGAGGCTGACAGCAGGAGCAGCAGCCGGGGAAGCATGGAGGAGCTCTCGCAGTCTCGTCACAGAGATGCCTCCTCTTCTGTCTCCTGTGGGTCTACTGCAGGCATGAAGCAGAAGATGCTGTTGGACTATAACGTCTACATGGCCAAATATGTCAACCCCCAAGTACAGCCGAGAAGCCCAACTGCCACTGACAGCCCTGGGAACAGTCCTGAGAGCAGCCCCAAAACTACCAAAAAGGTATGAGACATAGGGATACATGAAAGGTACATGACATGAAATAGCAACGAGCAACTGCCATGGAGCTCCAGACCTTCAGGCTTTTAGGGAAACTGCATCAGTTCCAGCATTGTCTTAGACTACGTCCACATTACTATGTTTTTAAAACGATCTCTGTCCAGGCGACCGTTTTAGCTCTGCATCGGAAACGATCTCCATCCAGGCTACCACCTGAAAAAGCATATTTACGTGAGTAATCAGGAACACTGGGCATGGGCGAAAAGACGAAGCAGATTTTCTACTCTGCATTTGATTAGTTGCAAAAAATACTACAAAGGAGGAACAGCAAAGACAGTTGTAGCGTTAAAATGCAGAAGTTAACTCCTCAACAGCTGTTAGCAAAGACAACAAGGTCAGTAACACTTGTATTTCATTGTCCGTGTTGTATTCTCCACTGGTAGTCGAGGCTGATAAGACCCAATCATGAAGCGACCGTGGGTGTCTACGTCAGCGTTTCCAAAGGTCACAGTTTGACCCTCTGTCAAAATATGCTTTCATAAATAAGTTTTCATTGTACTCATGTTGGGCAGACTCACAAATTCATTTGTAAGTTGGAGGGTCAAAAGGTGCCCTGTGCCCCTCTAACAGATTAATCCAGCCATGGAAATAGCCAGGGCCTAGATGAAACCCAAGCTTGATGTAGACTTTTATTATCTATGACCTAAACCTTTTCGCTCAATTTTATGTCAAGAAAAGTAAAGCTACACTGCCCACCTGTATGTGTCTCCTTCAGTTACGCAGAAGTTCGGAGGAGACCATGGAGCCTGAGGCCTGGGTCAATGCTTTTCTGGGGAGAATATTCTGGGACTTCCTGGGAGAGAAGTACTGGGCCAATGTAGTCTCCAAAAAGATCCAAATGAAGCTCAGTAAAATCAGGGTGGGTACGAGTTTGCACAGATATACTGTACGTCTGCAGTGTAACTAATCAGAAAAATCCTCCTCAGTGTTCCAATGTGATCAATTCAAGAGACAATGTGTCTCTGTTGTTGCTGTATTCATATCCAAGTCCAGTCCAAGTGTTTTTTTAAACTGCCTTCTGTGTTTCAGCTGCCATATGTAATGAATGAGCTGACTTTGACAGAGCTAGACATGGGCTTTTCCATCCCTAAGATCCTCCATGCCTCCAAACCCTCTGTGGACCACCAAGGTAGGAAGAGAAACTACACTAGGTATGTCGTGCTTTTCACAGTGTTCTGGGTGGTGTACAATAGAAATGTATTATTTTTCCTATTGTTCTGCTCACCTCCATCCTTCATTATAAGCTAGGCTGTTTGTAAGTTCTCCCTCCTGTCTTTGTCACACAGTAGAAACACATGCTTTCACATTTCTTTGCGCCTCAATCCATCCATCTCCTTCTTCTCCCTTTCCTACCATATCTCCATCTTCCCCTTGCTTTGCTCTCCTTCTCTCTGGATTAAGACATTTCCCCCCCTCCAACTCTGTCCCCCTCTCTCCTCTGGAGTCTAGCCCCTCTGCGTGCCTCGCTCTATTAAGCCACACTAATTAAACTTCACGTCTTGGGTCCCCCTCATCCATTACTGAGACACTGGCTCACCCTGCAAAGCGACTGATGAGACATACAGAGACAATACAGAGAAGTGGAGCATATTAATTCCTACCAAGATGGCTGGTTGGGGTAGAAAAATGAGAGAAGCTTAGGAAGGGTGAGAGACGGGGGACAGGTTGTGGGAGGTGTGGTATTTGTTTCTAGCTTGCTATTTGTTTTCTAAATGGCTATGGCTGTGATGAACAGGTTGCCACATTCATACAGTTCTTCCCTAATCTTTGTCCAAAGATGGCTTTGTCTACTTTGAGCTTGCATTTAAGGATGTAAGAGCGTTGGCAACGTTATACCTGTTGCTGTTCAGCTGTAGGAGCCAGTCATGAGTCATTCTTCTGTCAGCCACATTTCATGGCTGAGTCTGCAATGCTCATTAATGTGTTCTGTCTGAACCTACACACCCACAGATATAGACTCACAAAGCATCATCAGTTGATCCCAGCATATAATTATTCCTGAGGGAATGACATCTCTGGAAGTGCTGCACTGTAAACCTGCATCAACCAGACAGGATGCAAGTGCTCCAGTGCTTTCATTTCATATCTTAATATTTCTTTTCTCTTGAGATGATGATAAGGAGGAAGTGGGAGTCCCTCCTCACTCCTTTACATTGGGAAGACATTATCTGATTTACAATGTTTATACTGTGCTCCATGAGCTACTAAAGCTACCATTATTTTTGAGCCTGTGTCTCAATATTGATAATGTGACCATGTTTTAGTGTGACTATCAATTCTAAGAGACTATTGATGAGACTGGACATAAAATAGGTTTGGATGATATTAGTGTTTGTGTTTTTGATCTAGTACATTTACTTCACCACCGAGTCTGTTGTATAGCCAGAGGGTAGTCTTTGGCAAGTTATATCAGAAGGGTTTATCGTGTTGTGAGCAAGAAAATGTTGAGAAATGTGTGTGGCAGTCTTACATAGTTTATTTATGTGAGGAGGGTCTACGCAGAAATATAATCATGTAAAGTCATTAGTGAGATTTAATATTATACTGTATGTAGTGTTGATTAAAAATATTTATAGTATGTATAGTACTGGTTGTCATTCCTGCATAGCACACCATCAGCATTTTCATCACTGTTTACTAGTACGACTATTAACATCTTAGTTTAGCACAAAGCACAGCTAAGGCTGCTGGGAATGTCATTGGTTTTACAGGTATTTGGTCATGAACACTGACTTGATGACGGTGTTCACGATGCCTGCGCCTAATTGCATGATAATCCATCCAACAGTTGTCGAGACATTTCGCACTGAACCACAAATGTCAACCTGTTTTTGGTGTTAGTCTCCAAAGTCATTCAGATTCATCCTCTGGGCATCACAAATACCTGTGCCAAATTACATGGCAGTCTGTCCAACGTTTCATACAAAAATGTAAACCATGTTGTGGCTGCAAGAAAAGACAGGGGCTCACCAACGTCAGAGCGATTCATCCTCCCCGGATCATGAACATCTGTACAATGGCAATATATTCAGTTGTTGTAAAGATATTTCAGCCTGTATCAAAGTGATGGACCGACCAGATGACATTGTCATCCATAGAGCCCCGCCGTTAGTGTGGCTAAAAATCAATTAATGTGTTATGATGGTCAAGCAGGTTCCATAAAGTCGCTTCACTTCATTTCCCTTCAGGGAAAAAACAACATATAAGTTATATATGGATATAAAATATGACAATAACCTACATTCAAGGCTTGTCTAATAATAATATTGCTGTTGTAGTTATATTTCCCAGTTCTATGTAAAAGCATACACATGCCTATGTCAGTGGGTGTGGATATGTTGACTCCTCGAAAATTGATTAGACACTCCAGACTGTGTCTCCCATCTGTGTGTCTAGTTCTAGACAGAGACAATGAGACAGTGTCTAACGCGTTCTGACTGAATGCCTTAATGTCATTTAGCTTCTCTTTGACACTGCTGCCTGCCACACACATACAAATCAATGAGCATTTATGGAGAGTGGAAAATAAAGAGGAGGAAGGAGCGAGGCAGAGGAATGATAATCAACACTCATCAGTTCTTGAGGTTAGGATTTATCGAGCAAACAGCAGGGGGATCGAATTCCAAATAATTCTCCCGTCACTTCTCGAGAAGTGTGATGTGTAAACAGGAAGTAGCCTTATGATGTAGGCCACTAGAGAGGCGCTGCTGCTCTAGAGCATGGTGACCTTTTCAGTGTTTGCTAGAGGATAGGTCTTCTTCCTGGCAGCTCTGCAGGCAACCTCACAGCAGTTACACAGCAGGCAGGAGATCCTTGTTTATTCGTTGGAATAGCATTCAGAGTCTGGGGTGTGTGACAGAAGCATGATTTTAATCGTGAAACTCTGTCTCTGTCATCTCTCTCATCTTTCTGTCCAGGTCTGTGGTTTGACCTGGAGATCTCCTACACAGGCTCCTTCCTCATGACACTAGAGACCAAGATGAACCTGGCCCGCCTGGGAAAGGAGGGCGAGGGGCTCGGGGAGCATGGGAAAGAGTGGTGAGGCTTTCACATTACATTTAGTAATTTCTTCTTTTAAAGTTTATAATGAAGCTCATGAAACTGAGACTGATTATTAAAAATGTCTTCCAGACTTTTGAAAGTGATCCTTCACATCTTGTCCTTACCCATCTGTATATGATTTTGTTGTTGTCTTATAAGACTGAACAGTTTCCAGTGATGGGGCCAAAATAAGAAGTTTGAAGGATTAGTGGGGTTTGTTTGGCTAAACAAAACAGCTCAAAGCTAATTGGGTAGATTTGTATTTAGAGCCATATTAGTTGTCACATCTGTTTTTTCACAATTCCTATCATTTTTTCTGTTGTCTCTTCCTCCTTTCTCTTTATATACTTATCCTCTCTCTGGACGCTTACCACTGTGGATTTGTCCAATGACTGGTGAGTTTGGGAATAGATGCCCACAGATGTCTGTCACTGAAACAACACATTTTGTTTTGGATTAGTGTCTTTTCTTGTGTGAGTCAGTGGAGATTAATTTTCTGTGATTCATATCAGTAGGGATACATTTAATAGGAATTGGTTTCGATTGCTAATGGTTCTGTGCAAAGCCATTAAGGCCTGACTTTGCAACAGTGAGTGTGTTTATGCGTGTGTAACAGGCCCAGGCCACGGACATACTGTCTGGCAGACAGCGATGAGGAGTCATCGAGTGCGGGCTCATCGGATGAGGAGGATCCCCCAGAACTCCTCAGTGACAAACCCATTCTGCCTGGAGGCGAGGGGTGAGCCACTGTCTCTTTACAACAACATCAGCATGTAGCTGAATTGAAAATGGGCAGCAACAAATTCACAATGATATGCTGAGGCAGAATGTTCTGCCCTTTCAGTCCACCCACCTGCCTACCCACCCACTCAGACCCACATGTTTGAAAGCTTGCTGCTGACTTAATGTAACACCCGGTCGCTCCCATCCATCGTGGGTGCTAAGTAGCAAGAGATGCTGTTATGAATAAATTATGAACCTGACTCACTCGTTGCCTCCTCTCCTCCTCCGTTTCCATCTTCTGCTCACGTAGCTATGTGGGAGGCCACAGGCCCAGCAAGATCATGCGCTTTGTGGACAAGATAGCCAAGTCGAAGTACTTCCAGAAAGCCACAGAGACGGAGTTCATCAAGAAGAAGATGGAGGAGGTGTCCAACACACCCCTGCTCCTCACCGTGGAGGTGCAAGAGTGCCGCGGGACACTCGCTGTCAACATCCCACCCCCCCCCACGGACAGGATCTGGTGCGTTCACTTCCAGGGAGGAGTACAGTGAAGACTGTAGGATGTAGTCAGCCTATGCATGGGAATCCTGGATTTAGAATATAACACTGCACCCCCTGCTGGGCAAATTCAGACATGCATGCAATGAAAGAATAAAAATGTTTAATCACCACTGAACTAAATATACTTAACATTTTTAAAAAAATGAGGGCACAAATGTATGTATTCTCATTAAGGATGTGGAATATTAAGAGCTTAAATACACACTGTGAGCTGAAATATTAAACCATCTACAGCATGTCAGCCACATTTCAGGACCTGTGAAGGGTCCTTGGTTGAGATGATAAAAAAAAAAGAAAAAAATATATTATATAATGTATAATATATAAAATATATTTCTGTTAAACAACATCATGTATATTTTTCAGATTTTTCCCAACTTTTTTCTTGTGAATACTGAATACTTTCCCATCTTTATGCCTTTAAAAATCCCTCAAATTAAAAAAAATCCAACAAGGAAAAATATCAGTCTTTGGCTGAACTGCTTACGACTCATGTACACCTTGAAGCCATAGCTTGTTCTGGAGGTTCAGACTCTGTCTCCTTTTAAAAAGGCTGGCAAACCACTGATCTACAGCATCATTGTGATCTCTTTTCATGTTGCACGTTTCCTCAACAAAATGAATTGTGTTGAAAAAAAGTAAAATGTATTAAATTTAGGAAAAGCAAAACCACACCCAGTTGACTGTTTTCATGTCAGAACTTTTTATGTTTTCATCTCGGAACTGGGATTCAGCTGGTATGAGATGATATAACTTTTACCACAAATTTTTCCCCCTGGCTGTCAGGTATGGTTTCCGGAGTCCGCCTCACCTGGAGCTGAAAGCGCGGCCTAAACTCGGTGAGAGGGAGGTCACTCTAGGTCACGTGACTGAGTGGATTGAGAAGAAACTGGACCAGGAGTTCCAGGTACACAGTGAGGAAAAATAGGGAACTGTGCATGTTAATGTTTAGTCAGGAATATAATTTATTTACGTTGTCAATATAATGTAATGTCATATCCCAAGTTACACTTCAGAAAACTTGGATTGACAAAAAAGAGGCAGAAGGTTTACTCGAGGACAAAGAGACTCTCCCCCCCAGATGTTTTAGGGGTTAGAATTTAGGTTATAAAAGAGGACTTTGGGATTAATTTATGGCTGCTCACATCCATGCACTTCAAAGCAGTGTGCCTGTGGCTTTCCCACCCCTCACATGTAGCCAAAGTAATGATACGCCTGCTGCTAGACAACTACCCTGAGGCACACCTGCAAACTACTACAGCAAAGTGTCCCTGTCAGATCTACCACACATCTACATTTATCTCTGCATGACTCTTTTGGGGGTTATTATGTACCTCCTCACCCCCCCACCCCCCCTGACTCCCCTCAACCATGCCTCCAGTAAAATACAGTGTTGCAGAGCACACTGTTGTCAGTTGTGAGTGAGTGTATATGCGTTTCAACAAATGCCAAACTCAGGCGTGCGTCACTGGTTTCCAGACAGAGCAGCGTAGGGTTGGATGCACAGAGGATGATGTATTTCAGGTCTTCTCTCTCCAGTTCTTGTTAACAGAAATAATCTCATGTCACTGTCTTATATTTTTAGTTGTAAAAGCATATTAATTAGTAGTTTTTGCCACACTAAACACTCAATTACTTTTGAATGTAAGTATATTTCAGTGTCCTCCTCCTCTTTTATTGTTGAAAAGAAAGTGAGTTTGCTTGTTACTCTGCTTGTCCTCCCACAGAAAATATTTGTGATGCCAAACATGGATGACATATGGCTACCCATAATGCACTCTGCCATGGACACGCGTTCAAATGCCAACTTGGTTACTGTGACAAATGATGCCTTGAAGGACCCAGAACCTGAAGACTCTGAGGTCTCCGACATGTGAAGACTGCTGGTCAAAGCGTAACGCTGATGGACGTCTTATCACCGTGGCAATATGACAATTCCCCGCCCAACTCTGAAACCGCGGGTGCAGCAATGGGCCAGGCCAACTCTCCAATATTTTTATCCATATCCCAGTCCCATTGTCGCACCCGTCACCCGTGGCCATTCATGAAGCGCACTCACAAAACAGGAAGCGCTGGCGAGCTCATTATCTTCTGTGGCCACAAAAAGCAGGAGAATGAGAGAGTTGTGACTCGTAGATTGTCATCCAATCACACAGTTTTATTCGTGTGACATCAAATATTACAATTCATTCTCTGACGAAATACAACACACGGGGCATGTCGAGACTGTTTTAACAAATGTGTGTGGTGGTGGATCGACAAATAGCCATCTGATTCAACCAGAAGAACCATAATACCTGTGATGTACAGCTGCACCAAACATGATAGTTGTACAGTGTAAACTTTTTGTGCAACCTTTCTAATCAAGCGGTTTATCCTGGCTCTAACTCTAGGAGCACTTTGAGGCCACTGAGTGAGGGAATTATCCTAAAATTTGGAGATGACTTTGCTGAAATCCCCCGCGTCTATTGATATACATTTCACAGGGATATCAAGACTCATCAATTACCCATCCACACTGCTGCCTGTGCCAGCCGCCTGGCACTTATATGCAAACAGATCAATGGCGCTGTGTCCATCGATGATATTAAGGTCAGTTTAAATCCAGTATGGACACTATAGTAACGTACGGCCTGTGTGCTTTTTACTGTGTGGTAGGGATTAGAGCTAAAACTGACTTTAGTGGGGAGTGTTAAAATATATCAGCAAACACAGCAGCTAAACATTGCCTAGGTCTGATGAATGTATAAGTATAAATAGGAATGCAGCTCCATAGCTCATTCGAGGAATAGCTCATTCACTGATGACGTGCTTCTGCGCAACAAGCTTCAAGACTTCTTTTCATGTTACATTCAGAGTTGAGCAAAAGTAATAACTTTCTGTTTTTCTTGCCAAAGCAATCTTTGTCGTTTCCTGTCTAAAGGGAACTGTGTGAGGTGAACAGTGACAAATAAGCAATTGGATAATTAACCTGTGTTCCTACTGAGGCCACTCCAGTGATGTACAGTTGAAGTTTGGGTAACTGTAGCTGGAAATTCAGAGAAATAATCTGAGGGGAGTGATTTTCTTTTCTTTTTTCTTTGAGGGGGCTGCAGGAGACTGAAACCCTTTCATTGACAGGGTAATACAATAACTTACTATTTTATTTGAATAAATAACATACTGGATATTAGCCATATTATTTAATGTTTTCAGCAGACATCTAGCTAATGAATGCTTGTTTATTTTGTTGAATTATTTATTGGTTTGCTTTTCTTCCTGTACTGTACACCTTAAAAAGGAATAACACCAACAAATTAGAACAACAAATTTGTAATCTGCCAAGACATCCGGCTGCTTTACAGGTGACTTTTACTTTACATGTTTTACGTTAAAATATGTGTTGGCAAAGTGTACGAGGCAGAAAGTGCCTTTAAAATAAACATTCCTCCATTGTGAGCCACCACATTCGTTGCATCAGTTGAGGATAAAGAGATAAAAGTCTTTGTGCCATTACTTGTGTCTGTTAAGACATGACCTTTGTTTTCACAGGTTTCGGTGTTGTTCATTTTCACAGTGATGAAAATATCAAACATTGCTGTTGTGTTCAGTGATGTCACAGAATGTTATGGTTCTGATCGTTGTGGATCAATAAAACCTTTTGCTTGGACAGAATTGCTGCATCTTTGTGGCTGTGACAGAAAGGCATCCATATGTGTATACCACACCAATTCCATTAGTTTTATTAACTTTTTGGGCTGTAACAAGAATTTCCATTATCAATTAATCTTGCAATTATCCAATTATTAAATTAAAGGCCAAAGAATCTCAATTTTACAATAATATTTAAAAAAAAAAAAAAAAGTCACTCACTTTTTGGAGTTTGGGATTTTTGCTCATCGTAAAATAGCCGGTTCATCTTCTGGTAATTGCCTAATCAACACTAAATATTGTGATTTAAGTTTTTTTTTTTTAAAAATCATATTCATGGGGAGTTACAGTCCAATGTGAGTCAACAAGGACTATCTAAGCAGCACTGCAGACCTATTTAAAATGTTAACTCCTTCATTTTGTGCATTTTTAGCATGAAAAAACATTGTTCATTTAGATTCTGTGCCTTGCTCTAAAAGAGAGACTTGGGGAAATTGCCAAGAAACCCCAGTTATGACAAGACATGATCTTGCACTGCTTTTGACCTTTGTGAATGACCAATGAAAAGGCAATTCAGGTTCAAAAAAGTGCCTTTACAAAAAAAATAAATAAATAAATAAAAAACCCAGAACATGTAAAGTAAGTGGAATTAAATGAACAAGGACACAGTTTTACACAAATGCTTTATTCAAACTGACATTTTATTTTCCATTTCAAAAATAGATCAGGGAATGCAAAAGCATCATCATTAATAGGTCATGGTATCATCTTGTCCTTTATGGTAACCATGTTCATTTCTCTGACACCGCAGCCCAACCCCTGCAGAAGAAGAAAAGAAAGAAAGAAAAAAAAAACACTTAAGCTTTGGTGTTGACACATGATTAATCACAGGCTGCTGTATGTAGGTCATGTCAGACACAAACTGTCTTCAAAATTCAATCAGAAGTCTAACGCATCATGATCATCACTCATAACCATTGAAACTAATTCTAAGACACTTCTAGACACTTACTTTGCCGTTACTTCTTTGATCCATCCACACTCAAGTCCAGCTCCTGTATGAGAAATGATCAAATGTATGAGTGAGCTTGATTATTTAAAAAAAAGACAGATCAGACTGGTGTTGGTGGGTCAAGTCAGACTGAATGTTGGCTTCATTTTCACATCAGAAGTCTAACGCACGAAAATCATCACTCATGAACCAAAGAAAACAAAACTGATTAAAAGCCTTTTTTTCTAATAAATACTCACCATTGCAAAATCGTGGGACCGCAGGCCTTCCTTCGTCTGCAAGTCCACCACCGTTTTGTCCACGTGTGGATGTGCAATCACCTCAAACACACTGCATCAATCCGACTTTTTCACCAGCCCTGTGTAAATGACAATATACTGTATGTAGGAGAAAAAATAAAGCATTGCATTTGAAGTTTGACGTAATATAATCTAAAAAATGCAATCTTACCGTCACATTGTCCTCGTCGATGCGGCCTAGTCACATTGCTCCAACATGTTAGCTTTTAATGATTGATTAAAGTTTTTCTGAAACCTCCGATAATCATGTATCATAATAATGACAAGAAACTATGCACGCAAGGCGCGTCTCAGCCATAATTATTGCAAACATTTCGGGTCTAACTGGTATAGCTTGCAAAAGCATGCTTTCAAGGGGTGGACTACCGCAGAAGATGTCCCCCGGATCTACTTTATACCACATCCGGTGTGCGTAGCCCCTTTCTAATTGGTTCACGCTGACTCCACATTTCCCCTCCTCCACTCGTTTGGATATCTATCCCAAAGTCCAACCCCCACGGTTTTCATTTCAGGAAGAAGCTGAACTAACCAACGTTGTATCCACAGCCGCCGGATCAATGCCTTTAACGTTACAACGTTGATAAAAGATTTCGTAACGTCTGCTAGGCTGAGACAAATCACGTTTTCTATGTAGCCGACGGCCGTCCAGACCAACTGTCTATCCCGGTTTGAGACCACAAAATATGGACTGGACAGCGAGCAGCCGGGCCCTGGTGTGGTGCATTTTGGCGTTGCTTTGCTGCGCTGGTCTCCCACAAAAGGTAAGAGGGCTAACTGGATAAGCTAGCTTAACTTAGATAACATTAGCTGAGAGTTACCCGCTAAAACCCGCACCTTTAACTTAACATAGGCTGATTTTCTGACTTCAGACTCACAAGTATCATTAGTATAAGCTAAAATATGTGGCATTCAGTGGTCATTTAATGCTGTCTCTGTGCTGCGTGTTGGCTTGGCATGACAGAAGTGGGCTAACATTAACGTTAGCTTGTCGGCTAAAAGCACTCTGTCTTTTTTTTTTTTTAGGAAGATGTGCTTCAGAAATCTTGTAATGAACTTACTCAACATTGCGTTGTCAATATAGATCGTTTCCAGTTCATCAGTCCAGTGTAACAGCTGAAGGAAACGAGTCCTCCAGAGCATGGAGATTTAGGTTTCCACCTCCTTTCAGAGTAACTTTAGCAGGTTGATTTTTAAATGCATCTCTCTGTTAGTGGACTATGAGAAATTGCTGCGTGTATGTGTTTGAACATATGTTTAATGTTTTGTTTTGTTTTAAAGCCAGACACTTTAATATTTTCATTTTATCAACGCCCCCTGCCCAAGTGCCTCAGAAGCATATTGGCAAACTAGTGATTGAAAGACAAGCCATTTTATTGTTATTACCAGTAACAATTGGACCGTATACTAAAAGCAATGTAGTGATGCTGTGAAGGCTTGGTGATATGCAAATAGTTCTACTACTAAACACTTGTTATCATTTTGCAAGTCGAACACACGTCCTGTGATTGCACTGAGCTGCAGCCCTTGAGATAAACATTTAGTATGGTGGTTCCTGAAAAGTGCATGTTGCAAAGGTTGTAAACCAGGCAGCACAACGTGATGAGTTGTGTTGATATTAACAGGGGTCTTTGATGTTGGGCTTGCTAACACATATACACATTGACATTAAAATACAAATTGACAATCTCAGTAGACACATTTAGATCAAATAGTAAACAGACATCGAAGCTTGATGCAAGAAAATAGCTGTCTCTGTACTGAGGTAAAGATTAAAGGATGATTCTTACCATTACCTGTCATCCATACTTGCTTTACACATCTTGAAAGCCTTCTCTTTCAGTTGATTATATCTCTACAGCCATCTGAGGTCAGCAGGACAGAGACAGTATGTGTGTGTGCGCGCCTTCTATAGTCTCTAATTTCAGAAGATCCACGCCAATACAGGGCATTGTTACGCATGAAGATTCTTTGAGTTTAGGTTGATTAAATCATGCACAAACTGTGCCGTGCCAGTATAAAATAACCACACAAACATCTGTGTTTCTGTGCAAAATGCAATGTGATGTGATACACACACAATCTGACTGTAAGGTACATTGGAAGGGAGGTCTGTATTTACATAAAAACCTCATCTAATTTATTTTCTTTACCAAAGATGATAGAGTAAAAACAGAATAAATTCTAGAGTGTTTGTGGTTGGTGCAAAAGTGAGCTAGCTTACTTGTTGAAACTGAGCCAGATCATTAGAAAGACATGAGGCAGAGACCATTAGCTAGTAAACCACTTGAGCTAAGCAGCAGATTAAAGTAGCCTTATAATCCCCTATCATGTCTCAGGTTCTTCTCTTAGCCTGTTAGATAGTCTGTTGGTGTGTAGTGAGGGTGACAAATGATTGGCTATCTATAGATAGTGACATAAGTGTGAGAAAGAGGGAGAGATACAAGTGGAAGAGATACAGAGACGGGACTTATTATTTCTCTCTTTTCAATGTCTCTTCTTCACAATCAAGCTACTTTTAAAGTGATCTGATTTTCCATTGTAAGAAGGATGTGCTAGTGACTAAAATCTAGCCAGACGTCTCAGGAGCAATTACTGTGTTCTTCTTAAATTATGCTCATGCCTCACTTCATACAACTGTGGGCTCTTCATAACAACACTACACAACACACATTTCCAATAATATTTTTAACCAACTTTACATTACAGTGTGTGCAATGTGTCCCTCAGCTGTAGTTTGTTGTTGTCACCATGGATATATTTTATTCCTTTCATTTTTCAGGTTCAGATTGAACAATACATGATGATTTGATAAAAAAAAAAAAAAGGAAAAAAAAGAAGTTGTGATCTTAGACTATCTTATCACAACAGTAGATTGGCTGTGCTTTGACTGAGTGTGCCAGAACATGGGCCAACACGTGACATCCTCCCCACCGAAGCAACACCACGCAGAGAGCAACTGATAGTGACTGTGTTGACAAGGGAGGTTGCTAAATGTCTCTCCACTGCTTTCCACTACACTACAAAAGTATGAAGCACATTGAGGAATCAGCACTCTTCGTCTGATGAGACTGAAGAAAATCAAATATCCTCAGGCCTGTTGTCTTTACACAGACCTGAAGGGAAACCTCAAATTCCCACTTTCATGCAGGACTTTAAGACCGATGGATCATCAGGCTGTTCTTAATGCTGCATTGCTCACATTTCCTCATTTACATAAAAGGAATTTTTAGAAGACCTTTGTAAACATAATTTGAAGATGTTGCTGTACTACACCCCCCATGACATGTAGCCAGAGGTGTGATGAGTATTTCTTGGTTCCTGTGTTGGTTTTTGCCTGCACCCAAGGAAGCTGCAAACAGACTGCTGATTGCTGTAGACAAGCTGGTGTTGGTAGACTGTTTTCAACAGAAATTAAGAAACAGTTAGATCAGGCCCAGTTAGTACATCGTATAGTCAAGACTAGAAGATATGTCTTAGTAATAGTCTCACCTAGAATTATGAGATTTTGTCTCTTAAAAACACACTGTTGTCAGGACTTGTATGGTATGATGTGCTTCGTTTACTCTCCTTTGAGTGTCTGATATAAATCACCAATCAATTGTTTCCTGTTTTTTGAACGGAAGCTGCAAAAGCCACAACTTTACAACACACCGTTGTTATTTTCACTCAGTCTCACCACTTCAAACTTTGAATGCATTTTTTATGCTTATACTAATTTCAAAAGTGATTAATTACATCCTCTCATATTTCATCACATTTGGCAACCATGTCCTTATCTGAAAGATTCCGTATTTATTAGCTTCTCTCCCCTTCTGCATCTCTAAATGTCACACACTGAATAAGACTACCAGTTCATCTGGCCATATGGAATACAGTCACTCACTTGTTGCTTATCGAGTCCCACCATGGTCTGATGTTCAAAATGGCGATGCCTGCGAAAAGTTACACCCCAAAAGCCTGCTTTCTTTTAGGATGCAGGGCAGCTATGTGAAACACTGTGTCAGGCTCATTTGTTTAAGACCACTTATCAAGTGATTTGTAATGAATATCAGGCAGCACAGATTAACTCTTTACCTTTCTTTGCCCCCTCAGTGACCCGCTCTGCCTGTGTTGCCACCATGTATTCAGTCTTTCATATCTTCACCCAAGCAATGCTCTTTCTTCTAAGACAAGTGATTGTAGTTTTACAGCTTTTGCCTAAACGCTGACGCTCCAAGGAGTACTGCTAAATTGCTTGTGTACACTCGGTGGGAAAGCTGCCAGTTACAGCCAGTCCTGTGTTCAGGTTGGTCTGCCATGCAAGAGGCTGTGAAGCCCTGTGACACTGCAGCCTGCTGCCAGTGATATCATGAGCATTGTAGTCTGTGTTCCTTTAAGCTATGTCTAGCCTCATTGCAGAAGGGAAAGTGAAGACCTCAGAACTTGCCAAGACTTTGGTTTCGCCCAGTTCTGTTCTTATTATGTAACGCACTTACGCAATACCTAAACCATTTCTGTGTTACACACAGAATAAGGAAATGAGAGGGGAATGTCCCGATTTTTCTTCTATTAAGCTTTGTAACTCACCTCAGTCACTCTGAGCAGCCAGACATTTTAAACCAGATGTCCCTGAAGCCTAACACTGTAGAATATTCACCAGTTGTTGAATGTCAGTGTCCAAAACTGGGAGACGAACAGATGTTCAGAAAGTTATTTGCTTGTGAAACCAAGAACCCTGACAGAGGTTACGCGGGGCCCGAAAAACAGATTAGTTATGATTCTCCCAGTGCAGTTGTGCGATGCTTGTGAGTATGCAGACAGCCCAGTGGGAACAGCCACAGGTGCACAATATTGACTCAAATGCTTGTTTAGGATGTGAGACTACAGCAGGGGATCTGTAGGCAAATGTGGAACGACTCAGTTTCTTTCTGTATATAGCACGAAACTTTCAGTTTATGGGGTTGTTTTGGCCTTGGTTTCTGTTTGGCCAGTTATAACAAGAGTATTTTCCCAAATTTAAGATGAAGAACATGCAGAGAGAAAGAAGAAAGCATTGTAAAATACCCACTCGCCCTTCTCAGATTGTCTGGTACTGGTCAGTTTTTGGTTTTGCCAGGAAATGCACGCTGTGTGACTAAGAGGAAACACCCTGAGTGATGGTGATTGCATTTGCTCTCCCTGCTACATGCTGAGACTTAACTTAATAGCTGTGCTGGTTTGTTTGTGTCTGGCTTAAGAGCGCTTCAACCCCCCTTCCTTATCTACTCAAAAGTGGCAAAATGCTTAGAGGAGTGTGTTAGTAATTATAAACTGGTAATCTCCATTATATGTAGGGGCTATTTGTATTGTCCCCAGGGACCTGTTCAGGGGGATTAGT